TTGTTGCCTCCTCCTCTCCTGTATATTGAAGATGAAAGAATGAGAGCGTGGAGGACACACGCCTGGGCTGATGTATTTATAGAATTATAGTGACAAATGAGTCTGCAAATTAAAATGTGTTCATCAAATTCAAAAGCCAAGTGAAGGATGCCAGGTTGAAGCTTCTCGGTTGGGAGAGCAAACCAACCCCCCACAACGTCCCACAGCACATCTCCGCCGTGAATTGAGAACATCTCCCGATAATGATACCAGAAATGATGATGTCATCATCGAAGATGTTCACAATACACGGGGGATGTGCTCTGGGGCGTTTTGGGGGGCAATCTGGTGGGGGACGTCGGCATCTAGAGCTAGCAATGGGTCGGAGCGGGTCTTGTTCGAGACAAAGCATACCAGTCACAAACCGATTATTAATCAGTTCCATCAGACCGGACAGAAAACTGTTCTGCAATTGGATCCCGAGTTGAATGGTCCAATCGTCTGGTCTGAATGGATAGTCTATTCTGACAAAAAAATTAAAAATTAAAAAACAAAAAAAAATGTCAAAACCGTTGTCTGGGTTGATGGTTCAATGGTTTGACCATCCAGCTCAATTTGGAAGGAGTACAAATACAAATTCCAAATTAAGTTCAATTTGAAAGAAGTACAAATACAAATTTTTAGAGTGTAAATACATTTAAAATAATACAAAATACAAGGTTTTGTACTCTACATATTTGTATTTATACTCTTTCCAAACTGAGCTTAAAAGTGTAAATACATACAAAATACAAGGGTTTGCACTCTACATATTTATATTTCTACTCCTTTCAAATAAACCTTTAGGCTCAATTTAGGAAGGATATAAATATAAATATGTACAGCACACAATACAATATACAAGGATTTGTATTGTTTTGCAAAGCACATTATTGTATTTGTACTCTTCCCAAACTGAGCAGAAATACATGCAACGGGAAAACAGTCTATTAAATTCCAAAACATGCTTATAAATCAATTGGTCATTAAGGTATCCAACGATAAAGTAGTTAACAATTCACAGAGAAATAAATGATTAAGTTTTATATGCTACTGAATGCTCAGCTTATTTGGGTACTTACCCTTGTATTGGAAGGAAGAAAATTTTTTTGAGTATGTAGCTAAGAGAGTAACTAATAGAACAAAGGGATGGAGAGGATATCCGTTATCTCAAGCGGGCAAAGAAGTCCTCCTAAAATCAGTAATCAGAGTCATTCCAGCTTATTGCATGTCTTATTTTTTAATCCCCCAAAAAAATTGTGATTGCATGTCAAAGTCTCATAAATCATTTTGATGGGGGACAAGCATTAGGTGGATTGCTTGGGATCAGATTTGCAAAATTAAATCAAATGAGGGGCTATGATTCAGAGACCCTCATGCTTTCAATTAGGGATGTTAATTTTCCCCATCCTCAACGGGAACCTGAAGGGGATTGTTTTGGCGGGGCAAGGACAGGAACCAGGACGGGGATTAATAGGAATCCCCAATCGAGGGGTCAGGGATGTGGATTAAAGTCCCCGCCCCGAACCCGCCCCATTGCCATTCCTACGTTCAATATTGCACCGATTTGGTTAGAATGAGAGAGTGTTATGAAAGTTTATTTTATTTTATATTATATATCATATAAAATATATATTATATCTGTTAATATACACATATATTTTGGTTTATGGTTTGGTTTGGTTTCTAAAGTTTAAGAAACAAAACCAAATTGTTCTAAGTCTAAACCAAAAGAACTACAAATTACGGTTTAATTGTTTTTTTTTTTTCAGTTTGGTTTGGTGGTTTGAACTGTATAATGACCATCCTTAAAAATGACCCCTAAGTGGAGGTAAAGGTCAAAGATCCCCACCCACCCAAACAGTTTGCAATAAAACTCCTATGATGTCATGCCAGCCCACCCATAATGTCTTGAGCAAAGTGGAATAACAATTCATGAAAATAATGGGAAGGGGCTGGAAATAATATCTAATTGTCTGAGTTTGAATTCAATCCCATTAATGGTTAAGGGTGAGTATGAGTCGGTTTGGTTTGGTTCCATGGAAGAACCTAGAACCTACCTTATAGGGGTAACCTGGAACATGAACCTACACTGTGAAGGTCGGTTCTATGGTTGGTTTTGGCATTGGCGGTTTCTAGGTCTACCTGTGAAAGTTGTTCTTTCTTTACTCTCCCCTTTCAGAAAAAAAAAATGAAACATGTCATTTGAAAACTTGATTTTCAATAATGATAATATATAGTTTAACACTTATATATTATCTTATTGATTAAATTGAATAATTTAATATATAGATTATCATAATATATTAATATATGGTTTAAAATTTGCCATTATAATTTAAATTTTGTAAATATTACTTTTTTACATTATTTTTATACACATTCAAACATTAAAATGAAAGCAAATGATCAAATCACTTAAGTAACTCAATGGTCAAGTGAGATCATGACTTTTTTAACCATGAATGCTTGGGTTCAAATCTTCACATTCTTAAAAATACTTTACAGTTTTATTTTAAGGCAAATTTGGTTTCAATGCTGATTCCACCAAAACCAACTAAGGCTAGTTCTGTATTGATTCAAGTAGGATAAACCCCTTGACCTTGGAATCAACCTGAATAGGGGTTGGTTTCATTGGAACCATGCCCTAGAAATTGCTCAATTCCTAATTGGTGGAAGAATTTCGGACACTCTTAATGGAAATGATGAACCATTATTTAAAGAGAAATATGTGGTTATTTTGTAGTTCCTTGGAAAAACATAATTAATAACCCCCAAATCCTAATTTGTAAAGTTCTTAATTTTGTTTCTGAAACGAAATTTTGTTGATTATTCGATGGGGTAGCCGCATGAGGGTTCCAATAAGATTAATTTTGATGCCTCATGTGGGTCAAATGGTTTCTGCTCTATAGTGTGTATTGCTAGAGGTCATGATGGAAGAATTCTGAATGTGGAAGCTTATCCTATTAACATAACTTTTATTAACCTAGTCGAAGCTTGGCTACACAGGAAGCCCACAAATACTACTCTCCTCTCTTGTGACATGCCCATTATTTCTTGTGGCATGCCCACAAATACTACCTAGTCGAAGCTTGGCTACCCCTTGCCTTAAAATTCCTCTTTTACAAAAAAAAAAAAAATCTAAAGATTTACTAAATATCTAAAGTCGATTTTCATTTGTTTTTGCAACCTATTGTACTTAATCAACTTTTCTCTAGATGGAAGTGGGGAATGATGGTTTTGACTAATGTTTATTCAAATAAATGTTTTAAAAATTGACTCAGAGGCCGAACCGTTTTTGCCTCTGGGTTGTGGGTTATTGTTCGACTGACCAGATTGAACGGTACAGATTGTGCCACATCAACACATATATGTATTAAGTGTATATATATATATATATATATTTATATATATTATGTGTATAAATATATATTTTAGCAATACAAATGGTTTAAGTGGTCACATGACCATTCCTACATGACAATACAAACAGTTAACAAGGTTGATTAAGCAAATTGATTGTAAACTTATAAATGTGTTTTAGTAAAATACAAATTATATATAGGATTGATTTTAGCAAATCTATGAAATAATAAGGGTGTAAAATTTATATTGTATATATGAGTAAAATTAGTTTAAATTGTATTTTTGTTAAACTAACATAGTTTTAAGTTTCATACAAATTATTTTCAATTCATTTTATTAAATATCGATTTTAATTCATTTTATTAATATGTGATATTTTAATCATTTTAGTTTGACCCGTTTTTTGGATTTTGAAGGGGGAGTGGCGGTCAACGGAACCTACTGGAATAAAGTGATATCTATCTCCCAAATAAATAAAAATAACTTTTCCACCTCGGAAAAAATTAACAAGACGAATTAGGACAATTTTGCCTCGAACACAATAGGGTCAAGTCACTTAACCAGGTAAAGTAGCTTTTCGAAAAACAAACGGGGCAGAGTGTAAACTCGCATTGACCAGATCGGTTTTGGTTCGGATTGGAACGATTTCATGTCAGGTGTGGGTTGGGTCAGACCCATAGCCCATAGTTTGAGCATATCGAACGGTCAAACCGGACGATTGACCCTTTAACCCAATGACCAAATGACGAAAACGGTTCTACATCCGGTCTATTCTGCCACCATATGTCGATTGTCGACATACATCATCAGTTCATCACCATTAGCTTTAGCTTTTCTTTCTCTCTCAACTGAAAAACCTACTTATACATGGATTCCGGTTCTTCCGCGCCAACTTAACTGCCGAGCGGCGAGCAAAACAACCATCGAATTCGAGATGCTTCTTACCTCCATTCCGGAATTCTCAACAGAACTTCGAAGCAATCTTGGAGTCCAAGTTCCTACTGCAGCAGCAGCAGCAGCAGCAGTCCATCTATATATACGGCTTTCCTCGTATTTCGTCTGTCTCAGAGAGAGTGAGAGGGAATGGGTTGTTGGCACGGAGGCCTTCGTTCCCCATTTTACTCTTGTGCAGAAGGCTTCCATGCTCTGCTCTAACAGGAGTAACCTGGAGAACGACGCCCTCTGTCCTAACACAGATCGTCAGAGMAAGAGCMTTCGACCCCCGGTGGCCATTTCTTTATGGGAATTCATTCCTTGTGATTTGATTCTTTGTGGGAGTTTCTTGTGCCCTCGCTTTTGATCGGAACTTGATTCCATCAAGAAGGACCCACAAACCAGAAATCGGTTCATGCTCTGTAAGATACCAGGTACGCTTCGGTTTCTTTCTCTTTTGGCAAATCCTTCTGGTTCTGGGGCTTCTTGGTTCTTTCGACCTGTTTTAGTGCTTTAACCGGTGTTCAGCCTGCAAAAATCTCATTGATGAAAAACAAGCACAGAACTGGGGGACCTGTTTAAGCGGTTGAACCACGATCAGTTCGAACCGTTTAAGCGGTTCATAGAACGGGGGGACAAAACTGGAATTCCGATAAGTCTTTGGTGAGGGTGCTAAACCCTAAAACTTAGCAAAAGAGGTGAGAGAGGAAGGAGAAAGAAAAGAACTAAAGAAGGGGATAAGAGGCCGCTCTGAGAATCTTTTTTTCTGATCAGTGCAGCTCGGAGAATCTTTGCTTACACTGATTCAAATCTTGAAGTAAATCATCTTCTCCACACTCTGAAGAAGCGTTTCAGTTGCAGGTTGAATGAGGAGCTCTCTACATCGTGGGTAAGTTCTTTTTTCTTTAAATTTTGTTTTCAGAAACTTGCTTGTGTGGTTACACGTAAGAAATTCTTGCTAGTTTGTTTTTTTTTTCCGGTTTTTTCTTTCATGTTTTTCAAGGATAAATGCTTGAAACTGAGTGGTAAATTGACTGCAAAACCAGATTTCCATCTCACCAAAGTAATACGTAATTCAATTCCCCTACCAAAAGTATAAAATAAGATAAAAGAACGAAGAACATGAAGAAATGCCGTAGTAATCATAATAGGACTCAAAGACCATGTTCTCCATGCTGTACACAATTACTTTGGGAGGTAGGTATAGAGAAAATTATAAATACACACTGAGTCATACATTTTTGTTTGATAACAGCAAAAAAGGGTTAAATAGCGTTATGTCAAACAGAAACTAAGAAGCTAGTGGACTTTCGGTGGAAGAATCCAAGTCTCAATCTGGATGTCAAATTCCCAATTTTATGTAAATTGATACTTGCCCTCTTTTGTGTTTCTATCACAAGGAAAAAAAAATACCAATTACAAAATCTTTCACCTATAATGCTTTTCTTTTTTGATCAATACCTATCATGCTTTTCTTGTAGTTCGTTTGTTATCAATACTTCCAAGAGGATAAATTAAAGCCTTGGGTGCAAGAACTATACTGATTGTGCCATAATACTTCAAAAGCAAAGCTCTTCATTTGAACTGAATCATAATATGAATACACACTAAATCATAAATACCATAGTTTTTAAGGCGCCAAGACGAAGCTAGGCAACAGGGTGTATTTAGATTAAAAATACACACTAAATCATAAATACCATGTTTTTAGATTAAAAAAATCAGTCCTAGAGCTAGAGTAGCTCCTTAGATTTCTTAATAACAAGCAGTAATCTTTAACTAATAATTACCATAATCCTCATGAAATAAGTATAAATCCCATTTGATAATGTTGTTCATTCATTCATCCTAATAAAATATCTTTTTAAAAAGCAATTAAAACTATAAAATCATTATTTTTGTGTGAAAATTAAGAATTAAGAATGTAAATCCCGTTCGAGGGGCGTGGCACAAAGGCGGCTCGTAGAATTAAGAATGTAATACGTCACATTAGCTGCTTGAAGTAATGTAATTGAGAAAAAAAAAGAGATTGTGGGTTTTATATGCTTGAAAATGTTTTATATGTTTGATTTTATTTTTAAATTCTCATTTGAATATGCTTTACATATTATGTTTCTGTATTTTAATTTTAGATAATTGGTTTTTTTAAAACATTTATTTTAAAATTTAAGTTTATATTTTTATAATATTATGTTTTATAATTTTTTTTTTAATTTTTGTGCCTTGCTTAAAAAGGCGCGTGCCACGCCTTGGTCCTTGCTCCTCAGGCGCAAATTGACCCTTGTGCCTTTTTTGCGCCTTGCGCTTATAGAAAATCAACATATTTATGAGAAGAAAAATAAGAAAGGAAAGAAAGCATACAAAACATAAGGGCTGAGCCCTTGTTTTGGTCCTAGGAAGAAGGAGGTCATGATGAAGAAAAGGGCCTATTGATTGTTCTTGTGTGTTAATAGGATAAAATCTTCAAGTTATTTCTTACTTGTGTATTTAGGTTTTAAAGTATTAAAGTGTTGAAGACTATGTCACTGACTTGTGTCGATTGAATTGAGCCCAAACAAATAAGAAAATAATAAAAGAAACTAGTATAAGAATAATAATATTGTTAATATAAACCAGTGTTTAGAAAACCGGACTAGATTGGCTGGTTGGATTGGTTGAACCGTGACCCGGGACCTTGGCCGGTTCAGTCATACCCCAATTACCGCACTTGATAAAGAACTGGTGAAAACCTGCTGACTGGCCGGTTTGACTGGAAAACCAGTGAACTGGTCCTGTTTTGTGAAACTGCCCGGGTCCTTTACAATTGAAATTTTAAAATGTTTTTAGTAAGACTTGAACCCATGACCCCATGACCTCTAATTTCTATATATTGCTTAATTACCATTAGTCCACCTTTTTTCTTGTGTTAATTAATGACTCTTTATTGTACATATTACTTTATTATACATGTATTTTAAAGAAAATGTAATTTAAGAGATTTGGACCCTAGTCATTTGCTTTAAAAATTAAGGAACTTGCCATCTAACTACCATATTTAAAAATATAACAAGTTATAAAATATATTATATATAGTATTTATATGACCCATAGTATATATATGTATATCCACTACGTCATCATGGTCTGACCCTAGTTGAACCTCTGACCCGTGAACCTCTCTCTTCTCTGGTTCTATGCCCGGTCCGGTTTTCTGAACATTGCTATAAACCCAATATGAATAATTTAGTTAATTAATATCTATTCTACTACTATTAATAACATAAAATAAGAATATAAAATATTATGTGGTGTCTTGCATATAAATATGTAAGCGTTTGGGCAAAGCAATCCTCAAAGAGCACCTTATCACCTAGGCATTGCCTTGAGGACTATGATAAATACCAAAACTTCATTTCCATTAGAAATTCATATCAGTGCCAGTAGTATTTGAAGAGCAACATCTAACATAAACAATATTATTTATCATGCTGATGGTGTAGACATGAACTCATCAACCTATTGTCCAGTTAACAGCTCAAACCAGTTTGACATTTTAGACCTTCAAGCATCAAGGATAAAACACATGATACTTTGGCATTTTCAATGTTCATAGGATATAAGAACTAAGGCGACTGGATTTTTGTTTCAAAAGTAACTGTGTCCAAAGTCCATATTGAGACAATTTAGTTGTGCTAATAGCAGGAGTGCTTGGTCAGAACTATTATAAAAGCATAATACCATCTTGACAGATATTATGTTATTGAAAACTAGAATGTAATTATTTCATTTCACATGACATAAAAATTATAAACTCCTTAATTGTATGACCTCAGCATCACATCAATGACTAACATCCATGTCAAGCAACCTGCATCAATGATTTATACTATTCTATCACAGAAAAAATATTAAAAGAAGGAAAAACTAAATTAACATGAGTAGATAATTATAATCTTTATGGACTTGTAGGAATTCAAGCTCAAAATGAGGAAAATCATCACAAACAATAAGAATAGAATTGGTCCAGATCCCAACATTAGCAGATAAGAGATTAAGAGCTTCACCATCAAATCCATTCAAAACATGTTCCATCACACATTGCCAATCTATGATCATTTAATCAAGTCACAAACAAAGATAAATCATATATTTTATTTCTACTGATACATGAAACTTGAAAACATATTGAAATTGCAATAAAAATGTAACAAAGGGATCAACAAATCAAATTCCTTCTCTAGATAAATCAAAATCTTTGAAACAAAAAAAAAGGGATGAGTTCTGTAGAGATGCATCAGATCTGCAACTTTAGATTCAGTCATGAAGTTGCTATCCATATCAATAACAACAGAATATAAGAAATGAAACCCAGGCTACATGAAAAGTAGCTTTTCAATCACTAAATGGGTGAAAAACATTCTAAAGATGCATAGAAGAGACTAGTTGAAGAAAAAGATGGAAGAGTAGCTTGGAAACCTGGTGACAATGGAGAAGGGGTTTATCTGGGAGGAGATAGAAAGCAAAATGCCAGATGAATTGGTGGTGGGAATAGGCTGAGAAGGAAAAAGAAATGAAAGGCTTCTAGCTCTTGTGGGAAAATCCTATGCCTAGTTGTAGGGGTGCAAGTTGGGCTGGGTTAGGTCAGGTTTGTTGAACTCCCAACCCTAATTTATTCACCTTGTTTGCTTTTAGGCAGTTATTTAAAAGGCATGCCTAGGCGCACAGGCGAGGCACATTTTAGGGTAGGCGCCTTGCCCAGGTCCTAGGCGCAGCCCGTTCGCCTTAGCCCAGGTGTGCGCCTTTTGAAAATTTGCCGCTTTTTCCTTTTTTTTGAGTCTGGCGGCACCGGAGCTTTGAGAATCCCCTATTTGGTAATATTGTCCATTCATTCATCCTAATAAAATATCTTCTTAAAAGCAATTAAAACTATAAAATTAATATTTTTTGTGTGAAAACTAAGAATTTAAGACCCTAACGTGGACTTGTTTGGGCTTGCCTCGAGGGGCGTGGCACAAAGGCGGCTTGCAGAATTAGGAATATAATGTCACATTAGCTACTTGATGCAATTGAGAAAAAAAGATATTGTGGGTTTTATATGCTTGAAAATGTTTTATATGTTTGATTTCATTTTTAAATTCTCATTTGAATATGCTTTACATATTATATTTATGTATTTTAATTTTAGATAATAGATTTTTTAAAACATTTATTTTAAAACTTAAGTTTATATTTTTATTAATATTATGTTTTATAATTTTTTGAGTTTTTTGCATTTTTTTTTGAATTTTTAGCCTTTTTTTAAATTGTGCACCTTGCCTAAAAAAGGCGTGCGCCTTGCGCTTTTAAAACACTGCTTTTAGGTAAAAAGGATCTTCTCATTTTTTTGACTTTGGATTAGCTAATTAGGGTTAACTAGCTTTAGCATTAGTGTACATACGAGGAAAAAGTAATGTTGTTTCAGGGGTACTCTACTTATGTTATACTAAAAAAAAATTAGTCCTTAAACTTGAAGATTCTGATGCACATACGTACACAAACATGCACAGACACATATACATTAATTTTCGACCCTGACACTAACTGCATGATCTTGAACCCAACCCAAGCGAACCAACCTTTTTGTGTTGGGTTTGGCCTAACCTGGCCCAAGTCTCTCATCTATACCTTGTTGTGTTTGTTTGATTTAATGCTTCTTTTACAAAAGCTTGGATTTGTAATGGATTGAATCGGGAGATATCTAGTTTGATCTGATGACAGAAATACTTGATAAATTTCATTCTGTTTTAATCTACTTACTTTGAAGGATATCTAACATCCAACTTAATTAGATTTTTTTTTTCTGGTTTTGGGTTGGACCAAAATCTATTCCATTGACATTCCTATTAATCTTAGTCTGTTACAGAGCTCATTTATTAACCTGGACTTTTGTTGTGCAATTAGTTGATATTTTTTTTTTGATGAATGAAAATAATTTATTAAATCAGAATATAAGGCAATACAGGAAACCCATGAAGAGGCACAAGCTGTTACCTCTTCTAACAAAGTATTGCATCAATTAAGAACTGGATAAGCAGAAATAAAATTACATAGCAGCCCAAAACAAATGATCCCTTGAAACCCCTTGCTTAGCTAGTCCATCCGCTAAGGAATTTGCTAATCTTTCTATCCAAAGAGAGGTAACTGTCATATTTCTTGTGAGCCAATTGACTTTCCTCAACAAATCTCTATATTGCCACATAGATGAAGCTGGCTTTGTCAGCCATCCCACAACAATTTTAGAGTCTCCTTCAACTATCAAGTGTCGAACTCCTAACTGTTCAGCAATCTGGATGCCTTGTACAGCCGCTATGATCTCTGCTCTATTTGAGTCTTCTATTCCCACAGGGCCTGAAAACAAAGCTAGGATGTTGCTCTCTCTATCTCTCAGCACCCCTCCTATTCCTGAAGGGCTTGGGTTTCCTTGGCTACTACCATCAAAATTCAGCTTTGGCCAACCTTCAGGCGGAGGCTTCCACACTGCAGCTGCCTTGTCCCTCCTCGTATGGCTAGTGGCTACCGCCTTCCAGTTACTCCAAATGTCATCAAAGGATAACGTATGAAAGAAGTCCAAAGTTCTCAGCTAATGAATGGCTCTAGTCAATATACAATCCTCAACAGTTTGTAAGCTTCTTCCCTTTTCTTTGAACACCCTAGCATTCCTTTCTTCCCAAACTGTCCACAAGGCTGCTGCTCTAATACATCTCCACATCGTTTTTCCTTTTTTTGTAGGCCACACAAAACAAGAAGGATCGAACAACTGACTTAATTCTGAGGACAGATTCCACCTGCATCCAAACAAAGAAAAGATCCAACTCCAAATAGCACTAGAAAAGGAACAAGATACAAATAANAAAGATCCAACTCCAAATAGCACTAGAAAAGGAACAATATACAAATAAGTGGGAGCAATCCTCACCACTAGCCCTGCAAAGTACACACCAGTTAGGGGACAAGCRCATRAAAGRBCTTTTCTTCTGCAAGCAATCCAGAGTATTGATCTTTCTATAAAACACCTCCCAGCAGAATATTATAATTTTAGGAGGAACAGGTTTGAACCAAATCTCCTTACTAGGGAAACCCAACTGTCCCATGGAAGGGCAAAGGGAATTAAAAATGGAAGCACAAGTGAAACAACCTTTTGGATGAGGGGACCAAAGTCTCACATCCGAGCGAAGAGGGTCCAGAAAGACATTGCCAAGAAGAGACAACAATTCTGAAGCACTACTAAGTTTAACATCCCTCAAACCTCTCATAAAACCAAAGTCCCAGCTTAAGGAAGAGGGTGAAGTAATAGAAGGAAGAAAATGAGAAACAGTTTTTTCCTTGTAAAGGGAAAGAGAATAGAGAGCTGGGAATTTGTCCTTAAGGGCAACGGTACCCACCCAAGTATCTTCCCAAAATAAAACAGAGTCACCAGAGTTGACATCATACCTAACCAAGTTGAGAAACTGAGGGAGGACACTCTGAATTGCTTTCCAAGGAGATGCCAACGTAGCTTGATGTGATACCACCCGCATCCCAACCATTTTCCCGTCTGCCATGTATACTAGCTATCACTTCATGCCACAATCTCTCCCTTTTTCTAGGCCACCTCCACAACCACTTCCCTAAGAGAGCTTTATTCCTTTGAGCTAACCTTCCTACTCCCAGTCCACCCTCCTCTTTACTCCTACAAACTATTTCCCAATCGATTAGATGATCTTTCTTTTCCTCTCACAGAAAAGATTTCATTATCCTCTCCAACTTCTTAGCCCCTACCACACAACTCTTATCCAAGTTTATCTTCAAATTGGAGACATTCTCAAAGTGTTGTAACAATGCTTTGAGATTTCTCACTTCCCACCTGTCACCCCCTTCACAAAAAATTATGATATCATTGGCAAATTGCAGGTGGGTTACCCGGACATTGTTCCTTCCAATCCTCCAGCCTCTAACTTCCTCTTCCCTATCTGCTTTAGAGATTAATCTACTGAAGACATCTGCAACTAGGGTAAAAAGGAAAGGGGAGAGAGGGTCACCTTGTCTAATGCCTCTACAAGCTGGGAAAAAGTCTTTCACCATCCCATTAACCAAAACGGAGTAATGGCAGGATATTGTCTTATTGCAAGTTTTGAACATCTTATGATCCCTCAATTTAAGTGTTTGACTTATTTATTTTTCAATTTTGCAAAAGAATAAGTTTATGGAGTTAGTTATTCATGGTGGATGAATTGAAAGATATTCTTTTTATGGATTGAATTGGAAAGACATTTGATATTTCAATTTTTAAGAAGAAAGGAATTGACATGCTTTTATTTATTTAGTTATTTAATTATTTACTTTTTATTTTGTATTTTATGTATGAACAGATACAATAGATATCAGAAATCATAGTTTGGAAGTATTTAGTGATGAAGAAATTGAATTAAGAAATGCTTATTTTGTGGTTTTGGGTCATACTTTATGGTATAAATAGATGACTTTTGGTGGGCATAGATTTGTTTAATTATTCATGCTTATTGGCTAAAAAAAGTTGGGTGGCGATGACCCAGTAGCTAGGATCATCACTCCGGTTATGGAGGCATGGGATCAAAACCCATGTAGCTGCAGGATCTCCATGGTAAGGTTGGTGGACCTCATGTGCTCCCTATTCTGTCCCCACTCGATCCCTCTATAATGTAATACATAATACCAAAAAAAAAATAAAAAAGAAAAAAAAGGTGGGTTATTTGGTTCCAAAGTAGTATATGTACGGAAGTGGCTACTTATTTTGTATCCTTTTTTATGGTTTAAGTGGATCAACTTCTAAGAAGTGTTATGGTGATGTAAATGACTATGTATGGCTGCTGCCACAATGTGAAAGAAATTGAATCATTTGGTTGGAATTGTGGAAATTCTTTTTCACTAGGTGGTTTTCCCCTTCTTATGGCCTACATTGATGAAAGAGTTTTGGATGTCTTAAATTATTTATGTCTGTTAGCCAGATTCAAAGAAGTTTAATTGTGAACAGAAGGAATTATAAAGTGTTTCATTTTTCTTATCTTTTCTGTTTGTTCTTTTTCTTTATGTTACATTTTTTTTTAATAAAAATAGAACTTTTCTTTATGATACATTATAAGTGGATAGATATCTTTCCTTTTGTGTCTATCTTATTCCTTCAAGTTTTCCCTAAAGATTTATGATGGATTAATTGTTGTAGAGAACCTTTTTTCTTGAAGGTGGTTTTGTGAGGGAATGCTATCGGCCTGATTTAGGAGTGTTACTCCCTCGCTTCTCATATCTTCAGACAAAATTTGCAATCTAGGGTCTTGAGAAATGTTCCATACAGATTAGTGCCTAATTCAAGGTAACTGCAAAGAACACCTTTTTTAGTTTATGCTGTTGGGTTAAATAGTTAGAAATAAAGGTTGCAGTATTTCTGTTGAATCTGATGTGCCAATATTTACTTATCTTTTGATGTGTCTATATTTCGGAGAACCAATGTTGTTGCTTTTAGACCATTTGACAATTACTTGACAGTTGCTTTCCACCACTACATCTCTGTTGTTAAGAGATTTTCCTGGTCTGTTGTCTCATGCATGCAAAACTGCTAATGGTTCAACCCTTGATCAATTGCTACAACCTCTTGCTCAGGAAAAAAATATCTGGGATATAGCCCAAATGACTACTTTTAGAAGCTCTACCTATACTTAAGTTTCTTGGATTGCTCAAACTGCATCTATCAAAGTTTAATTTGATGACACTAGGACCTCTACCTATACTTTCTCCTTTCTTTTGCATGCCATAGTCCAATTGATCAATATTGGAATTACCTGGTGAAGGGGATGGGATTCAGCACTGTAGAGGTCTGCCTGAAAGACAACAGATGGCAAGGTGATGGTGGTTTTGAGTAGTAGAGAGTTTCAGAGGGAGAGGTTCAGATCTCAGATCTGAGATCTAAGGAGGCTTAGGCAGGGAGAGTCTTTGGAGGTTGAAGAAGGCACTCACAGGGACTCGAGAAGTCTGGGGAGGCCAAAGGTGTGGATCCCCTTGGGATGCGATGGGGTTAGGTGTCAATTTATCTATATGAGATAGACGTGTTAGGTGTGTTCTATTGAGAGGTTTAACATGATAATGTGATGCGATGTGTGTGATTCCCATCACATTCTAGTCTGTGAGTTGCAATCGAATAAATTTGTGTTGTTACTCCATTGTCCTATATCGCCTTGCATGCTGGCAGTGTGCACTAATTGCATGGTCTTACACCTGGTTCCCACAGGAAATTTCTCATGATTCTCTCCATCCTTTTTGTTATGAAAAATTAGAATTTTGAAGATAGAAAGGTAGTAAATAGGCAGGTTGGTATGAGAGAGGGAAAAAGAGAGAAAAATTCCTGGCAACAAACTAGCTATTTAAATTAATATAATGAATTACTTATAAAAACTACTAGAATTCACTAAAGCAAGCTTTATTTCATCAAATTAACTCGTTTAAAATTGCTATTACAATGAGTATTTATAGTTCACCATAAGAAATCGGATGCCTCTTTATAGATCCAATTTGGACTAGAAAACTGACCAAATCAATTTTTTAATTGCTTTAGAACCAAAACAAACCCATGAATAACCCATAGAGATATTCAAGAAAGGACTCTGCTCCATCAACTCTAATAACTAATTACTAATCCAACTAAAACTAACTCAATGTAAAGGCATCGGTAATTATTAGAAATAGGAAATTACGATTTTAGTATGATTATTAAATAGTAATTATGAGAATTATTATAAATATGAAGATTGTAAGTTATCATAAATAGTAATTTCAAAATAGCAGTAAATTTCTAGAAAACTAAAAATCCTATTCTTAAGATGCCTATAATTAAAAAATTAAAAAAAAACTCAAAAATACAAACATCCTGTTATTTAAGCACTTAAAATAAATGGTGGGACCACACAATAAGTGGCAAATAAGCACTCATTCGCATTTGGCAAAAAGAGAGTGAATAAGTGCTTATTTCAAAATAAGTACTTAAAAAAATCAGCCCAGGGGCTGCTTATTTTGAGCACTTCTTCCATTTTTTTTGGGACAAAACTGTCCCTGTCGTTTTTTCAAAATCCTGTGGAGCGTCTTCTCCATTTAAGCTCAAACATGAACCGGCAGCTGCGACATGCAACTCCAGGTTGAAAAATCATTCCAGGTATGTGAATCTTCCTTCCCTCTTTTCTCCACTTTTTGCTCTGTTTTGGGCAACTTTCGTGGCTATAATTGTCATTTCCACAAATATAAGTACTTATTGGTTAAGCGGCTCACCGAACACTGTAACCCAAATAAGTACTTATGAAATAAACACTTATTTCTCAAATCACATATTCGCCAAACATAGCCTAAGATTGTTCTAGGAATTGGATAACTTTCTCCATGGATTCTTTCCTTGCTTCAGTATCCACATCGTGTTGGTTTGGTTGTCTTCTGATGCTTCATCAAAATTTCTATTGAAATGTTGATATTCAATATTTGATGAAAAAAATGCATGGTCTTTGGAAATTAATTCTATGAAGTAATTATTCTAGATCTTATCCAGTTGTATTACAATTTATGTTTTTGTACTCTTCTCCTAATTAATAACTTTGTCTTGACTTGTAAGAGAAACTTAATGTTTCTTTGATTTTCCCGACTCTTTTCTTGCAAAATTTGTACTAGTATATGTTTTCTTCTGCCATTTGTTTGGTTATTTTCCTTGTGGTTCTCCTTGGACTTGGATTGTAAAAAAAATTCTCTTAAACCAGTTTACCTATTTGCTATGTTTCTGCTGTCTTGCATTAGTAACTCACCTGTCTACTATGCATAATTGGTTTACTTGTTACAGTTTCTGTCAACTTACTAGGGAGATGGCATCAAATAATGAGGTTGGGAAGAGTTTTGCGAGGAGGGACCGGTTGCTTGAGATAGAGGCTAAGGTTCGAACATGGTGGGAGGAAAAAGATGTATTTAGAGCTGAGTCCCATGAAAGAGCTCCCAAACCTGGTGAAAAGTTTTTTGGGAACTTTCCATACCCCTATATGAATGGGTATCTACATCTAGGGCATGCATTCTCACTGTCTAAGCTTGAGTTTGCTGCAGCATATCATAGGCTAAGAGGTGCTAATGTTCTACTGCCCTTTGCCTTCCATTGCACTGGGATGCCCATCAAGGCCTCAGCTGATAAACTTGCCAGAGAGATACAAAAGTTTGGGGACCCACCGGCATTTCCTTCTGCTATAGAAGAGCTCAGTATTAGCACTGAACCGGAACCCGAGGAGCAAAATGGAGGGGGGCAGACTTTACCTGATAAGTTCAAGAGCAAGAAGTCCAAGGCAGCTTCAAAAGCAGGTCGAGACAAGTTTCAGTGGGAAATCATGAGGAGTTATGGCCTCTCCGACAGTGAAATTTCCAAGTTCCAAGATCCATATTACTGGCTAACCTATTTCCCACCTTTAACTAAGGAAGATCTGAAGGCTTTTGGGTTGGGATGTGATTGGAGACGGTCTTTCATCACAACTGATATGAACCCATTCTATGATTCTTTTGTTAGGTGAGCTTTGTTGTCTTGTGTGGTGGGGATCATAATGTGGGCTTAGCTAGGATAGACAAACTGCCTCCCATCCCCCCTCCCCCCAAAAAAAATAAATAAAAGATAAAAAAGCGCACACACACAGGCTTATTTCCTCTTGTAAATTCGTGTTACTGATAAGGACAACTTTTGACAGGTGGCAAATGAGGAAGTTGAAGGAAATGGGAAAGATTGTCAAGGATATGAGATACACAATCTATTCTCCCTTAGATGGCCAGCCATGTGCAGACCATGACAGGGCATCAGGTGAAGGGGTTCAGCCACAAGACTATACTCTGATTAAAATGGAGGTAGTGCCACCTTTCCCTTCTAAGTTGAAAGCTTTGGAAGGGAGGAGAGTGTTCCTGGCTGCTGCCACATTGAGACCTGAAACCATGTATGGACAAACAAACTCATGGGTGTTGCCTGATGGGAAGTATGGAGCCTATGAAATAAATGACACAGATGTATTTATTGTTACTGAGAGAGCAGCCCTTAACCTTGCTTACCAGAATTTATCTCGGATTCCAGAGAAGCCAACCTGCTTGGTTGAGCTATCTGGTAATGATCTGATTGGGTTGCCTTTGAAATCCCCTCTCTCACTTAATGAGATTATATACTCTCTTCCCATGTTGACAATTCTAACTGACAAGGGCACAGGGATTGTGACCAGTGTGCCCAGTGACTCCCCTGACGATTACATGGCTCTACATGATTTGAAGTCGAAACCAGCTCTCAGGGCCAAGTTCAATGTGAAGGATGAGTGGATCATGCCTTTCGAGGTCATTCCTATCATCAACATCCCAGAGTTTGGGGATAAATCTGCTGAGAAGGTATGCATTGATCTGAAGATCAAAAGCCAAAATGAGAAAGATAAGCTTGCAGAAGCAAAGAGGTTAACCTACTTGAGAGGATTCACTGAGGGAACAATGCTAGTTGGAGAATATGTGGGGATGAAAGTGCAGGAAGCAAAGCCATTGATCAGGAACAGACTTGTACAGATTGGCCAGGCTGTTATGTATAGTGAGCCTGAGAAGAAGGTTATGTCAAGATCAGGTGATGAGTGTGTTGTGGCTCTGACGGATCAGTGGTACATCACATATGGAGAACCAGAATGGAAGAAAAAGGCTGAGGAGTGCCTCTCTAACATGAAGCTCTTCTCTGATGAGACAAGGCATGGTTTCCAGCATACATTGAATTGGTTGAATCAGTGGGCTTGTTCACGGTCTTTTGGGCTGGGAACTCGTCTTCCCTGGGATGATCAATTCCTAGTTGAATCCTTATCTGATTCCACACTTTACATGGCTTATTATACCATTGCTCATTTGTTACAGAATGGAGACATGTATGGGTCAGATATGTCCTTGGTAAAGCCAGAGCAGATGACAGATGAAGTATGGAATTACGTTTTCTGTGGTGGGCCATATCCAAAATCATCGGATATCCCTACTTCTCTTCTTAGCAAAATGAAGCAGGAGTTTGAGTACTGGTACCCATTCGATCTGCGGGTGTCTGGTAAAGACCTTATCCAGAATCATCTTACATTCTGCATCTATAATCACACTGCACTTCTACCCAAACAGCATTGGCCCCTTGGTTTCAGATGCAATGGGCACATCATGCTTAACTCTGAGAAGATGTCCAAGTCAACTGGGAATTTTAGGACTCTACATCAGGCTATTGAGGAGTTTTCTGCTGATGCCACACGATTTGCTCTGGCTGATGCTGGGGATGGAATGGATGATGCAAACTTTGTCTTTGAAACAGCAAATGCTGCAATCCTGCGACTTACAAAAGAGATATCATGGATGGAGGAGGTTCTGGCTGTGGAGAGCTCTTTGAGAACAGGTCCTCCATCCACTTATGCTGATCGAGTGTTTGCTAATGAGATAAACATTGCAGTCAAAATGACAGAGCAACATTACAGTGAGTACATGTTTCGAGAAGCTCTCAAGACAGGCTTTTATGATCTTCAGGCTGCTAGAGATGAGTATAGGTTCTCATGTGGTGTTGGGGGTATGAATCGTGAGTTACTGCTGTGGTTCATGGATGTTCAGACACGGCTTATTACCCCAATTTGTCCACACTATGCAGAATATATCTGGAAGGAGCTCTTGAAGAAGGATGGGTTTGTTGTAAAGGCAGGTTGGCCAACAGGTGATTTACCTGACCTTACACTCAAAAGTGCCAATAAGTATCTGCAAGACTCAATAGTATCTATGAGGAAGTTGCTCCAGAAACAAGTGTCAGGTTCAAAGAAACCTAACAAAAAGGGTGCTGCAGTTCCTCCTCCCACTGAAGAAAACAAGCCATCAGTAGGCTTGATATATGTGAATGAGCAATATGACGGTTGGAAAAGAGTATGCTTAGAGATACTCCAAAGCAAGTTTGACAGGGAGACTCACTCCTTTGCACCTGACCAAGAAATATTGGAGGCATTGCAAAGGAGTGTAATTGGACAGGAGACAAACTTTAAGCAGATTCAGAAGCTTTGTATGCCATTTTTAAGGTTCAAGAAGGATGAAGTGCTGTCTGTTGGAGTTCATGCCTTGGATCTGAGGCTACCCTTTGGTGAAATTGATGTCCTTGAGGAGAATTTGGACTTAATCAAGAGGCAGTTGGGTCTTGATCATGTAGAAGTTTTGTCTGCTATTGACCCTGATGCTGTCAGGAAAGCTGGATCCCATGTGTCGTTGTTAAATCAGAATCCTCCTTCCCCTGGGAACCCAACGGCAATATTTTTAACCAAGTAGGACCTTCATCATTAAACCATATTTATTCATGCTTAGTCATATCAGTTTTTATCGGGTTCATCATTTTTAGCATTTGATATATTTTGAGAATGAATGTACATTTGTTCATCTGCCACTTTTGTTTGTTGTCTCTTGTCTTTTGATCAATCTCATCTCATTTTCTTTAGGTATTATTCTTCTGCTCTAGTGGATGTATGGGTATTGTTTCAAACAATGAAGCAAATGTTTGTTTTGGTGGAAATTTGACTACTCTATATGATTAGTGTCTTACAGTGTTTTAAAAGGTGTGGGATGCATACGCCTGGATGCGCGCCTCCAGGTGAGGCGCTCCCAAAACGCCCTGAGGTGTATGCCAGAGGCGCTGACACCTCTGAGGCATACGCCTTGTGCGTTTTTTTCATGAGGCGTGCTAGAGGCGTATGCCTCATGTGCCTCATGCACATCTTATATAAAAAGACAAAAAAAAAAAGAAAAAAGAAAAAAAGGGGAAAGGTAAGGAAAGGAAAAGAAAAGAAAGGGAAGGAAAAGAAAAAGAAAGAGAATAAAAAAAGAGAAGGAAAGGGAAAAGAAGAAAAGATAAGGGGAAAGAAAGCGGTCTGCTTTAAGAAACTCTTATCCAATTTGAGAATTTTCTTGTATTCTTTCTATGTTTTTTTTTTTTCTGTCTGTCCGAACTTCAATGTTAGATTGATTCATTGCCATGTCTCCTAAGTTTTAAAATGCTTCCTTTCTGTGTGACTTGTTTTAAATACCTTACTTGAAATTGATTTATTTGCATTATTTAAGACCATATATAGAATTTATTTTCCATCATATGTTGATAAAGAGGCATTGTATATGGAATATTTGACTTACAAGTCAAGCACCCAAGCTTGATTATATCATCTTAGACTTTAGTGTACAAGTTGTAAATTCTATTGTTTTAGGTACATATGTGATAGATATGGATTAAAAAGGGTAGAATCATTGTTCTATGTATATTTAGCCTTATAGCATATGCATACGTATATTTAATTTTTTGACAAGTTTGTAAAAAATAGAATAAATCTTACAATTTACGATACAATTCAACTTTCTATAAGCTTTACGATACAATTATGATTTTCAGAACATTACTTCAAAGACTTCTGAAAGTTAAAGGAATTATAGAACATTTCCAGTTAAAGAGAAGGGTGGGAATGAAGTGGCAGAAAAGAGGATGATGAAGAAAATGATGATGATTCAAGTGACATAGAGTTTGAATTGGATGAAACTCATGTAATTGAAAAATTGGTGGATTTGGAAAAGGCTGTAAATTTAGAAGTTGTATGCAAACCATTGGGCTTGTTTGGTCCTAGGTGATGAGGATTGTGTCAGGTTCAAAAAACTGGAAAAGAAATACCCTTTTCCTATTACTGAAACTGCTGCAAATATGGTCACTCAGATCTGGAAGTGATTTGTGATGACCATAACCCATTAGCTTTAACTGGAGAGGTCAAAAAGAGCCATCCGATTCAAGCATATATTTTGAGAAGCATTTGGTGTTATAATTGGAAAAAAAATCAATGAAGAACTAACGGATGTGAAAAAGCTGAGAGAGATTTCACTTGCAGTTAGAAGATTAGAAGGAAGTAGTCTGAGATGTCTTGGTCTCAAATGTCTTTGCTAGATTGAAAAAAGGTCTATTTGGGGATGGGCCAAGCAAGAAGTCATTGAAACCTAGAAGCTATAAAGTAGAAACTAGAAAGCCTCCTGGTCTGGTTTTTTCAGTGGGTGGTGGGCTTCACTGGCTCTTCGTTGCTTTTGTGTGATGGGGTGTTGGTTTTGTTCATTTGGGGATTGATTGTAATTTTGGCTTTTGACATCCTTAGATTTTACTCAGGGCAAGGCAGTGATTTAAAAGGCTTGCCTAGGTGCTCAGGTGATGCGCATTTTAAGGTATGTGCCTCGCCCAGGCCCCAGGTGCAGCACTTTCAAAAGGTGAGTGCTTGGTGTGCCTAGTTGTGCGCCTGGTTCACCTAGTGGCTCGCTTGACAAAGCTCCAATAATCCCCCATTTGCTAATGTTGTTCATTCATTCATCCTAATAAAATATCTTTTTGAAAGGCAATTAAGTTATAAAATCATTTTTTGTGTAGGATTAAGAATTTAAGACCCTAACATGGACTTCTTTGGGCTTGCTTTGAGGGGTTTGATGCAAAGACGGCTTGTAGAATCAAGAATGCAAGATGTTTTACAATGATACCTTACCTTTTATTCAAAAAAAAAAGTATGCAAGATGTTTTACACCACATTAGCTATTTGAAGTAATGCAATTGAAGAAAAAAAGAGATTGTGGGTTTTACATGCTTGAAAATCTTTTATATGTTTGGTTTTATTTTTAAATTTTAATTTGAATACGTTTTACATGTTATTTTAGGTATTTTAATTTTAGATAATAGGTTTTCAAAACATTTATTTTAAAATTTATCTGTTGTAGGTAGAACTTTATGACTTCTTACTTTTCTTGTCACCTTCCTTATATGATTCTCTTTTTCTTATAAATAAATTTTATTTTATTACCAAAAAAACCATTTTCTAGAGCCATGAAACTTATTGGCCCAAAATCCATTCACCTGCTCTCAAAAAATTGCCTCGTGGTGAAATACTAGGGCTTAGGACCAACAATGGAGCCCACACAAAGCATTCAACCAACAATTCAGGGAATCCCCTAACTCATTTCCCAAGTAACTTGCTATGTTCTCTTTTATGGAAGGAAAAATAGCAGCTTATTACCTATTCTTCTAGTTCTGTATGACGAAAACAAGTTTACCCTATTCCTAGGTCTATTTTTCCTGCCATTATCTTTACTCCTAGTACCTTCTCAGACTGGGTTGTATCTATCCTTCTTGCATCAACATCTGACCTCTAACTTATTATTGTTTGCTTCTGCATCCTTCAATCCTTGGACCCATCAAGTGAAGCTTGGGTATTGCAATTCCAATCTCTGCTTCCTTCCCACAGCCATGTCCCATCTGAGCCCCTATCTTAGTGCAGCCAGGAGATTTAACGTCAACTGCAAATTCTTTTGAGATTTAACAGAGATTTAGCTGTATGGCCACTGGCTCTACCATTCTGGAAACAAAATCTATAATTTGTCTAAAACCACCATTCACACAGTTGAGTTTTCAGCTCTTCAACAAATACCCGAGGAAAAAGAAAAAAAGGGCTACCCCCGTTTTGTAGCCCTTCAAAAGATATCGAGAAAGAACAAAAAAAAGGGCATTTGCTACTTGATCACTGGCTTGTTTCACATTCTGAATGTGGTGATATATGAAATTGTTTGTTGAATTAATTTAATTATTTAACAAAGGTAATATTTTTTTTTCTTTTTTGTTGATTTACAGGTTAAATGGTGATTTGTGATGATGTTTTGCTGCATACGCTTGAAGGTACTAGATTCATTCAAGTATTCTTAAGCTTTTAATTCAAAGTAAACATCTGGATACTTTATCTGTATCTAGGAATTATATATTTGTTTGTCTTTGTTGGTTAGAGGCAAACACAATGTCAACTTTCAACAACGAAGCAGCTTCACTTTGGATTAAGTAGATACATGCATATTGGTTCTTGTCAAGGCTCAAAGTATTGATATGTACGATATGTATCGGTGCTTTTTGTGCCCTGCCGATATGCAAAATTACAAGTATTTCATGTATCTTAAGTGTTTAAGCAATTGCCAAAAAGCCTTGAATAAACGTGGCCTGAATGGTATTTATTAAAATTTTATAAAAACACCTGTATCAACTGTTAGAATCGCTTGATACTTGAAAAAAAATGTATCGAGTATATCAATACTTTGAACTACGGTTTTTGTTCCTTGTTACATAAAGAAAATGTCTAATTTCTTTCTTGTCTGACATGTTATGCAGAAGAATAAGCAGGGATAGGAGAGAAGCTATACAAAACTGCTGCTTGAAGTGTGTTCTCAATGATTTCTGTCAGTTGTTCATGCAATATATTTTTATTGGAGAGGATGAAAAAGAGAACTCTTCATGTTACCTAGGTTTTTGTTCATTTATTATTTTTGTATGTTTGTTACTTTTTTTTTCTCATTAGTTAAAAGGGTGTTCTCATTTTTCTAAACTCATTTTTTTCTTTGATACAAGAAGAATGAAGAGAAATTAAAGGCATCAGGGCAGCTCCCAAATTACCAGAAATCTTCATTGTTCTCAAAAAAAAAAAAAAATCCTTGAAAACTCTAAAAATTCTTGCAAATATTACAAAAATTCCAAAATATAATAGGAGGAAAGTACTTGGGAGCTCTGATAATCAAAGATGGTGTTAGAAAGGACACTTTTAAGGAATGTCTAGATCATAGTTGTCAAGGTGACGCCTAGGCAACAAGGCACCCTTGGAGGCTTGCCTCCCCCAGTTGCCTAGCAGTTTTGTGCAGTGGGTTATAAAATACTTTTAGATTTTTAATTTTTTGACATTATAATTATAAAATAAACATTATTAAACTAGAATATTCATTTTATGTGTGTATATACTAATTTCTTTTTATTATTTTCTTATTTTGTTAGGGTTTAATCAATACAAACATTGCTAACTGTTGTATTGAACCCATGGTTCACAGTATCGGTACAACTCTTTGTATTGGCAGAGGTGTATCAGTACTTATAACAATATTCTCCCTATTTTTTTATTTCTTTGGTTTTCAATTTCTTTTTTAAATATATATATATATATATATATAAGAAAATTCAAAAAATATAGGGGCTGAACCTCTACTTCTGTTATAGGAAAGAAGAAAAGAAAAGGTGGAGGAAGAAGAAGAAGAAGACATGGAAGAAGAAAATGTATTGATTAGACAAAATGTGGAATCTGGGCTTGAGAAGGGCTGTGAGAGATACAGACTTGAATAGTATCTCGAACCTCCTTGGTCTCCTTGATAATAAAAAAATAGGGGGGATTGGTCTGCACCAAACCTCAGTGACTAGGAAGGGGGAGGGGGAATAGGGCTAGGGGGCTGACTTAGAACTTTGAAAAAAGAGGCACAAGAAAAGGAGCCAAAGGGGGTGGGGGTCCATATTCTAGAGGGGGCTAGGGGGCTGACAATACTCTCCCTATTTTTTATTTCTTTGGTTTTCAATTTCTTTTTTAAATATATATATATATATATGTATATATATATTTAAAAAATGGGGTCCCTAAAAACACCTGTAAACAGGTATCAGGATCCCAAAGATACAATACAATACACCCGATACGGGGTTGTATCATATCGAAATTTTGATCCTTGATTGAACCCACAAAATTTTCAAAATCTGAACCTATAAGCAAGGGAAGAACTTAAAATTTGGTCCAATCAACACATTTTCTTCTTCCACGTCTTCTTCTTCTTCCAYCTTTTCTTTTCTTCTTTCCTATAACAAAAGTAGGGGGTTCAACCCCTATATTTTTTGAATTTTCTTTATTTTGTTGTTTTTTTTCTCATAAAATGTTGATTTTCTATATTTAAACATGAAATTTATACTTTTCTTATGAAAATTATGAATAATTATTAAGGAAAGATGATTATGAAACCTAGGAAACTACCCTAGGATCTAGGGTTTTACTCAAAAAAATCCATCGCCTAGATGACAAGGCGCCCCCCTGTCACCTAACCTCGCCTTGGCGCCTTGAAAACTATGGTCTAAGTAGAACTAGAGAAAAGCTGGAGGGGTGCAGAGCAAATCATTATCAATAGGCAGGAGAATTGCAATATTAAAAGGACTAATAGAGAATACGTCCGAGTATCAAATGAGTTATTTGAATTTCCCAAGCAAACTCAAAGAAGTGGATAAATTTTAGAAAAAGTTCTTTTGGGGTCATAAAAAATGTAAAGACCCATTTCACCTTAAAAAAATGGAATGAAGTGTGTATGTGTAAATGAAACGGAGGGTTTGGTATTAGAAGAAAGGATCTTATTAACTTGGCTAATCCATAGAAATTAGGGTGGAGAATTCTCAGAACAACTTTTGGGTCCAAGTTAAGAAGAAAAAAATATATAAAAAATAATGACAAATTCAATTCAAAAATCCCAAGATCAGCTTCCCAGGCCTGGTATGGAATTTGTCATGAGAGAATATTAAAATAGATGCTTAAATTGAAAAATTGGTAACAGAAAATCTTGTAGGTTATGGATGGATAATTGGGTCACAAATGCTCCTCTAAGAGAAGTTATCACCTTTCAAATTTCAAAATGGGATGAGAATTGTAAAATGGGGGAAATATTAAACAGAGAATCAAATAATTGGGAGACATAAGAAAGACAATTATTTGTCAAGGAAATTGCTCAAAAAATTATTTCTCTTTATATTCTATCGGAGAACAAGAAAATAATTTGTCCTAAAATTAAAATGCTCCTATATTCGGCGTTAAGTATTAAGCTCCCAACAAAAAAAAAAAAGATAATTCCATAGAGGGATTTAATTGTGACCTTGACTGTCCTTCTGGAGAAAGTGAAGATACTAATCATGTTATATAATTATATTAGCGGGGATCCGTGCGATGCACGGGATTTATTAAGCAAAAGATAAATAATAAAAATGGTCATTTACTAAAATACCCTTATAGTTTCATGGATTTACTAAAATCTATCCTATAGTATAGTTAGCATTTTACTAAAACACCACTTATAATTTGCAAACGATTTAATCAAACTTCCATTAGATGATAGTGGAAAATGACATGTTGGCCATAATGTTCATTTAAATAAATTTAATCAAAAGAAAATAGAAATAAAAATACCATTTTTCCCTTAATAAGACACGTGCAATCACTCTATTGGTTATATTTGGCCAATCTTGTTTCTGTATAAAAAAAGTGTTAAGGGTATTTTTGAAATAAAAAATCATGGGCCTAATGGTAAAACAAACACTCCTTAATGAAAGGTTGATTAAGTAAATAAGTTGTAAAATATATGGGATGTTTTAGTAAAATGAAAACTATAAGGTAGGTTTAAGTAATATGTAAAATTATAAGGTGTGTTCTAGTAAATGACCCTAATAGAAACACATAAGAGTATACAATTGTTTTATATTTTCAACTTTTTAAATAATTAATATTTTTTCATATTTTATATACTACTTTTAATAAATTTTTATAATACAAAAATAACAATAATTAATTTTAGTTAAGTTTATTCGTCAAACTTATGAAACTAACCAACCCGATTAACTCGACCCGAGTTGGTCGGTTCTCTAGTATTTTATGTCGACTTTGGTTCAGAAAATTCTCAATTCAACTAAGTTGGATCAGTTTCACTTTGGACATTTGTAAATCGACCAAAATCGAACGACCTAACCATGAATATATATTAATATTTTATATTTTAAATAATTTTTAATATGAAAAAATGAGAAATTTCCCATATTTCTTAGTCTAAAATATTTTATTTCATAAATCTAATTTTTAAATTTATTTTTTAATAATTGCACTATAATTTTTAAAATTAAATTAAATTTTTAATTTTTAATTTTAAATCTTTTGAACCGACTAACCTTTTGTGAAAATCGACCCAAACCGATACAACTTGAGTGGGTCGGTTTTCACAAAAGGCAAGTCGGTTTCAGTTGACCAACTCCCCAACCTGACCAGGTCAATTTGGTTGGCCAAATAGCCTATGGTCGGACCAAACCAACTTATGAACACTCGTAATTTTAGCTAAATTAATAGTCTCGTCTTCGATAGATAACAATAGTTTAATCTCCAATAATTATTAAAAATTTATAGCGAAAATACACAATAGATTAATATATTGATAATGAAAGAATACAATAATTACAAAATTACAAAAATATAGTAAGTACTAAAAATATATTAACTTAGTCAATAAATAATATAATCTCAAATAATAGTTTAATCTCTAATAAATATTAATTAATCAATAAGTTATAACAAAAATACAATAATTACAATAAGTATAATAAATTAAATTAAAAAAATTCAATAATAGTAGTTTAATCTCCAATAATTATTGAAAGTTTTCTATTAAATAACAAAACAAAATAAATTTATACATAATCATTGAAAATACCTTTATCACAAAAAAACAATAAATAATTATAAAAATACAATAAATATTAATTTTAGTATATATAATTATATAATAAATACAGATTAAGGGTTTAAAATTATTATTAATAAATATTAATTTTTTTGAAAGTTATTTTCTTGAATTACTACTTGATATAAGTGAAATTAGTTATTTACAACATTATATAAAAATAGTAAATTATTATAATTTCAATATTATGTTATAACTATTTTTCTACTTTGAAGAAATTTTTTTAAATTATTTTAACTATTTAAAATCTAGTTATGATAAATATTTAAATAATCTATAAAATATTTAAAGTTTTTTGTTATTTAAATTTTATTTATTTAAATCTATTACATATTATTAATTATTTAAAAAACATTTAAATTGATAATCCGGAAAAACATAATTTGAATTGTTAGTACATAATTTCGTGATATATTTTGTAAAAATATAAAATTATTTTTTGTAATTTTAATAAATATTTTAAAGTTATTATATAATTTTGTTAAAATACTTAAATTTTTTAATCCAAACTTTCTTTAGTTAGATATAGATAAAAAGTAGGAGAGAGGGTAAATAGGAATTAGAGATAATTTAGGAGAGAAATTCTCTACTAAATTAGAGATAATTTTGGAGAAAGTGGAGAGGTAGTTTAGGAGAAATTTTAGAAAAGATTATTTAGGTTTTGGGAAAGTGCATCTCATTGGTTATTTCAAAAATGACATGGAATAAAATATATATATTTATGTGTGTGTTTAATGTAACAGATACTCTTTAACCATCAAGTAAAAAGTACATTTGATAAGTAAACTTGAGTAAATTGGGCCATGAAAGATGAACTTGACGATCAACGATAAATAACTAATATAAGTTACTTTTGGACAAGTCGTCTAGAAAACTAAGTACCTAACAACAGTCCGAATGCCACTTCAGTTCCCTACCATTGTTTTCTTCAGTTCCCCTTTTTCCTTTTTTTTACTTGGTTTTGTTTTTACTTATTAAAATGCTTTTCATATATTGTTTAGTGTAGTGAATAATGATGTCTAATGATTTGGCTCCCTTGGATAAAGCCATGAAATACAATCTTCATGGACAAAAAACAATGCTGAATCTGCCAAGAAACACAATCCGCTGTGAAGGTGAAGCCCAATTATTTGTACAAATAAATTCATCTTATCGTAGAGAAACATGGAGGTACAACAGAGGTTCCCTAGCTCGTTCTGTAGCCTGTTCACTGACATAGAACCTAGAATCTGCAACTTGAACTTACAACACTCTCGATAGAGGAGCCCTACACAAAAGTAAAAACAAAAAAACTCAACAGAGAGAGAAAGGCAAACAAAGTGATTAGCTGTTTATAAGAAGCCATGGTTAGGGGGCTTTCTTATTTTCTATAGTATCCAAGAGAAAGTAGCTCCACATTGCCAAAGGTCCATAACAAGACTTCAGTACTTCAATCTCAAAATCTGTCCATTTCCCCAACGCATGACTCATCTCTCTCTCTCTCTCTCTCTCTATTATCTCATATGGGATTTTTCCAGCAAAATCAGACCACCTTCTAACCTCATCTTAGACCTCTTGTAGCAGCAACTCTCCACTCATGTGCAGTGGCAATTTCCCCCATGTGTTGTATCTTGATTTACAGTAATGACTATATTTGGAGTCCAAGCACTCTATAATACAGTCAAAAAGAAAACTCCTAAGTAGGAAACCTTCTTTGGCTTCCTTGAAACTCAGATTGCAACTGTAACTTCTCCAAAAGGTATCGGCAAGAGCATCCAACTTGTAAGCAGGGGGGCCTGTGAGGAAGCTTGCCATGCCATCTACATGGCTCAAGGTAATATTTCCAAACAGCAGCTCAGCATGCATGATAACCTCCCTGGCATCGTCGAGCTATGTTCCTGTTAGCCCAATATCTGCAAGATCAATGCTATGAAATATCCTGGAAAGAATGCCAGTGGAATCTATTGCAACCTCATATCCAGCTCTCCTCATGTTGAAAGATGTTACAGAATCTGACAAATCTGCATCAATGAGTGATGATGGCTGTGATTGATCATATGAACAACCCATAGATTCAGAGTGCAGGTTATGTCCTGGTATCAGAAGCACGTAAAATTAAATTAGACTTAACAAACGGGAAAGTTAATTTAATATAAATTTTAATGTCTAGAATTGGAATTTCTGATGATAACTGTATACTCTGTCCGCAGAATACAAAATCAAAACATACCTGTTCTGCTTGGTCTGCTTTTGCCTGATCACGCCTGGTCTGCTCTCTCCTTGTCAACAATGTCTTTCCGCTTGGTCACGCCCGATTTGGTGTTCTTGTCGAGGTCTGCTTGGTCATGTCTGATTTGGTATTCTTCGCCTGGTATGCTTGATCTCCTTTCGCTTGGTATGCTTGGTTACGTCCTCTTTTCGCCCCCTTTTTTCTCTCAAAAATAGAGAATGACGTGAATAGAAAGTCTGCCAAGTAGCAAGTGAGAAAAATAGGAGAAAAAATTGGTTGACAGTGGCGTGAAAATACAAAACTCCAAAGTGGATGACATGTGTGTATCCTCATCTCTTTATCAATATATGGAAGCAATAAAATAGGAGATAAAATTAAAAATTAAAGATATTCCACATTGGATAGGCAAGAGTGGGCATATATTTTTCTTTTATTGATTGTATTGAAAATGACATGAAATAAAAAAATAAAAAATTCAAAAAATGGAGAAAATTTTTTGATCGCTTTGTTTTAACATATATATAGATTATATTGAAGTGTCAAGTGATCAAACAAACTTGGTTGTTGATTAATGATTAAATAGGAGAGCCAAGTGATTCTCAGAATGAAAGACCTCTTAAGCTAGAGTGAGATGATTGAAAGGAAAAACCTAGAAAATGTTAGGATCTGTTTTAGGGAAAAAATTAACTTACTAAGGTACCTTTGGAAAAATAGGAAAGAAAGAATCTTTAACAATAGAGAATTCAGACCCCTTGATCATTCAAAAAGCTTCAGAGAGCCTATGAGAATACCAGGAAGCCAATAAGGTTGAAAAATAGAGTCAAGAAAATCCAAAGAATTAATTAAATGGAGGAAGATGATAAAGATGAGAGTAATTGGCCTGGCCTGAGCATGAAGCAATGTAAAATGCTAACTCGGGCCAACCCGAGTTGCACCTCTAAAAGCCCATAAGTTAGCCCGGTAGTTATGAGCAAGTTGGCTGTAATTGAAGGTGGGCTCAATCACTCTCAGAGCCTATGAAGATGTAGGTTGATTGAGGAAAAAACAAGGTTTAAAATTTCAATACGTATCGAACTGATACATATCATATCGGTGGCCTCTCGATACATCTCTACAGGGGGGTCTTTTGGGGTCTGACCGTAAACGAGCCTTAAATTGATCCCTCTAAACCAGTTTGAAAAAAAAAAAAAAAACTAAACAAAAAAAATGAACTAAAGATACAGGCTGTATGCCACAACCACATGTATCGGCCTGTATCTAAATTTTGAAGTTTGAACCTTGGGGAGAAGGCAAGCAGATTGATCAAGACAGCAACCTCAACATCTCTTGTAGGCACACTTCAAGGGAGGGGGACCAAACTGCAGATTGGCTTGAAAATGAAATCATCAAGAAATTTTTGCCTTCTAAGCAACTACATGATCAGTTGATCTACTTAACCTTCTCCCTTAATAAACCCAAACACAGTTTTATCGATTTTATTAGTAAAATATTTAATATTATAAAAGGGATTATCAGAGGCCCCAAGGAATAGATACTTCAGCACCATTTAAAGCCAGAACACATAAACAAAGAATCCGATTCTATGAATAATGAATATTCCTTTAATCCTATGCACGCATAACAGCTTCCAAATATAGCACAAATCTGTGTCTCTGATGTTCCACAACACAATTTCTTATCGTTAGAGAATAGAACAAAGCCAATAGAACAACAACAACTATTACAAAAGCCCCATCTGGATGATAAAAGAATTCTTATCCAACTCTTTTGCCATACAAGATAGTACTACCCATGGAATTCAATGTTCCAGTTGTAACAACAGCATGTCTTTCATTACAGATAAAAGCATTAACTGTTCCAGAAATATGACAAAAAATTCCAATTAATATCCTTCTTCTCGTTCAGAAAAACAACCCCATTACAAGCGAAAGCAACCCAAGTCAAGAAAAACTTTTTCTTTTTCGTAGAATCTTCTGAAGCATTCGACATGTGTAACACAAAGTCCAAAACAGAAGAAAACTTTTGTTTTCCTTTTGATTTGTGTTTTACTTTGCTTCAGGTTTTATTTTACTTCATTTGCATGCAAAGAATAAGGCAAGAACATAATAATAATAAAAAAAAAAGATAAGAACTGAATTAAACAAAAATACATCAAAATTTGCATTCAAATCATTTGCACTCCCATGCTTTTGCATCAATGCAAATACAAACATCCCTGGATAAAGAAGATAAAGACAATATATAAATGCAAGGGAGTTAAGACTCTGTGTAACACAAAAGGACACACAAACTATCCCAAATAATACCTTTACAAAACAAAAAATTTGACTTGGGCAAATGTACCCCAAGTACATATCTTATAGGTACTATATAATTTTTTTTGTTGTAAACTAGAGAATTATTTTCTATTTTGCTTTATCATTTTCATTTCTTTGCACTTTTTATTTGAATGAGGAAGGCAATCGAACAGACATTTTAACCCCGTTTGACCCAAGTTATCAGAACTGTTTTACGTTCGGTGGATGGAATTCCTTTGTCTTTATCTCTTCAAGAATCAAGACTACTCAGCTTTGATCAGTCAAATTTAAGACCATCCAGTAACCATGAACAAGGGTATAAATCAAAGGAACTTGTGCTACAGTGTCTGCAGCCCGAACTTGATATAATTGATTCTGCTCAGTCTTTTCATGTCTCCATCGATAATGGACCCCCACATGAGGAGGAAGTTTCAGGCAATTAATGTGTTTGCGTAAGATATGGAAGCCTTCTTATTAGTTTTTTTCTTTCTTACAAGTTTTGGTTAGCAGATCCTTTGGGTCTTTGGTTTGTATTGCGTTTTCAGTTCTGCAAAACACAATTTTCAGAAGCCAACCAGATCCAAAGATCTCATGTTCTATTCATAACTTAATTGTCCATGTCCTCCCAAAGGTTTCAAATTCAGATACCTCTAAAACCAGCAGGAAAAGAAGAAAAACAGCAAGGAGATTTAAGCTACAGAAGGTTTCTGGCCTTAGTTTAATTACCAATGGGCAATCGGGTATCAACTGTTGGACTACTAAGGATGCCTTGGTTAGTTGAAACATGTAAACAAGTTAAAATCCTGGATGATCTTAAGCAAAACGCCGGCGACCGGTTCCCCAGCTCTGACTACCACCCCCCTGACAGGATGAATTGGATGTCAGGCCTCAACTCACAGAGAATTCACATAAACAAGATTGTTTGGCCGGGCACCCATGACTCTGCAACCAACCAAATAGGCATCCCGATTATCACTCGCCCCTTTGCCGAATGCCAGTCCTTGTCAATCTATGACCAGCTCGTTTGGGGTGTTCGGGCCCTGGACATCCGAGTTCAACATGAACGCAAGGTCTGCCATGGACCCATTGCGAGCTACTCCATTGATGTTGTCATCAGGGACGTCAAGAGCTTCCTATCTGAGACCCAGTCTGAGATCATAATCCTGGAGATACGCACAGAGTATGGATGCCAAGACCCACCCGAGTTCGACGAGTACTTAGTAGACCAGCTAGGTGAGTTGTTGATTCACCAGGATGAGCGTGTCTTTGGGAAGACGGTTGCTGAGCTGCTGCCGAGGCGTGTCATCTGCGTATGGAAGCCAAGGCAGCAATCAGCTCCGCCCAAGGCGGCCGGCCAGCCGCTCTGGAGTGCTCACTCCTTGAGGGACGACTGGGTTGATACTGACTTGCCATTGACGAAGTTTGAGAGCAACCTGCAGCGTCTGAGCGAGCAGCCACCGGCGTCGAGCAGGAAGTTCTTCTACAGGGTGGAGAATACTCTCACGCCGCAGACCGCTAACATGAGTGTGATCGTGGAGCCTCTGGCTCGGACGATGCACAGGTATGCAAGACTTTTCATAGCGCAGTGCTTCTCTCGGGGGTTCGCAGATCGGTTGCAGATCTTCTCCACGGACTTCGTGGAGGAGGATTTCGTCGATGCGTGCATTGGGTTTACACAGGCAAGAATAGAAGGGAAGGCCTGAAAACTGATCAAGGATTGTGTCGTTATTCTTCATGCATGGAACTAGCTAGCAGCTCTACTAGTGTTTCTGATAGTTCTACCTCTAATTAAATAATTAATTCATTCGCTCCCTTGGGCAGTTGTTAATTTAGAGACGAAATATTGAGATTTATTGGTTTCAAATCTGCAAAAAAGATGTTAGTGACATGTTGTTGGTTCATTCAGCAAAGAAAGCTTGCAAATGATTAAGTATGGATCAGAAGGGTCAAACTGAATTAAGCTCCTAATTAATGTTCTAATGAAAAAGATGCAAAAACAGAAAAATGGGAATTGAATCAAACTTATCGGCCTAAGGTTTCAAGTTTTTAATTGGAATGATGCAGCTTTGGCCCCTATAGGGGTAAGGTTCTACATGCTACCGCCCATTCACTTTGCGGCCGGGTTGGAAATAGGTTGAGTCATCCATTCGATCAATCTAAATATGGGTTGAGTTGGGTTGGGTTACGGGTATCCATTGGGTAAATCACTATCATACAAGTAGGGGTGTCAATCGACTGGTTTTGGGTTGGATCCAGTCCGATCTAAACCTTATCAAATCGGATTCAGATGGTCCGTTATAATTATTGGATTGTACCAATCCAAGATAAATTGGTCCGTATTTTTATTGGTTTGAATTTGACCTAAATCAAATTTACAATAATTCGACCATGAGGCCAAACCTTTTTCCAATTTGAAACTGATCAAAACTAAAGCAATCATAAAATCACTTTTATGAAAAGTATTTTTATGAAAGCACCTTTACAAAAGTACTTTTACAAAAGCACTTCTACAAAGTACTTTTATGAAAGCATTTTTATAGAAGCAGTTTTATAAAACCACTTTTACAAAAGTACTTTTACGAAATCACTTTTATAAAAGTAATTTTACACAAAAGCACTTTAATAGAAGAACTTTTACGGAAGTACTTTTATAAAAGTACTTTTACAAAAGCACTTTATGGAAGTACTTTTATAAAAGCACAAGAGCACTTCTACAAAAATACTTTTATAAAAGTACTTTTATAAAATCACTTCTACAAGAGTACTTTTGCAAAATACTTTTACAAAAGCATTTATATGAAAGTACTTTTATAATATCACTTCTATAGAAGTACTTTTATAATATCACTTCTATAGAAGTACCTCTACGAAAGCACTTTTACAAAAGTGCTTTTTTGATGCCAAAATAATATATTTTTGTAATTTTCAGATTTTTTTCATTTTAATATATTTTTGTAATTTTTATATGTTCTGTTTTTTAAATAATTTTAATATTTCATTTGGTTTGGATTGGATCCAATCCAGTCCATTTACATTTTAATGGATTGGATTGGATTTAGACTGAATTGGGCCCAGCCCATTTGTAAGTGGACTCACATTGAATTGGATCAGGTTGGACCAAATCCAGTCCAATTGACACCTCTAGATTAGGGGTGGATTCGAGTCGAGTTGAGCCGAATATTATGAAGCTCGAGCTCGACTCACCAAGGTAATACAAGGCTCAAGCTTGAGTCAAAAATCCGTAAGCTCGGCTCGACTCAAACTTGATTTGAGAAAAAATGTTTTATAAAAATAAAAAATATTTTTATTTGATATTTAAAAACTAAGAATTATAACACACACACACATATATATAGCTTGACTCATGAGCCGAGCTCAATTAGGCTCGAAGCTCGGTTGAAACTGAGCCTAGTTGAGCTCGAGTAGCTCGTGAAGAGCTCGGCTAATGCCCACCCCTACTCTAGATACAAGTGTGAATTTCTTTGCCTTTTTCTCTTTAATTTTCTTCAAGTGAAACAATTTTAATTAATGCATTAATTTTTAATTAATTATTAACTAAAATTAGTTTTGGTTTAGGTGATCAGGTCAATAAAATTCACCCAATTTGTCATGAATCCAAACTAAGTCAAATGATTTAATGACTTCATTTCGTTTGGATATGTTGATTCACCCATACCTAGCTGGAATTAACCCAAACCTAATCAATTGGTTTAATGGCCCCATCTGGTCCATTTTGATTCTGGCCCAAATGGCCCAATTGTACCCAATCTGAATCAATCCAAACAACCAAACCAACCTGATTTGGGTCAACCAGATCCAGTTCGGGATGAAATGGTTTAGGCATCCCGACACAGCCCGATTTGGACCAATCTGGCTTGAATTGACTCAACTAGGATCTGAATGGGCCAACTACAGCCGGTGCAAAGCAACCTAGGCATGGTTGACTCAATTAGATGCAATTTGGGTCAACTAGCCCAATCAAAGCTTGAACGGTTTGACCACTCTTGATGCAATTAACCCAAATATGAACCAAGTTGGATTGGTCCAATTTGGACCAAAGTGGTTCATCCATACCAAAAATTTGGGCCTAGTGAAATGGTTTAAAGTGAATAACTGTTTTTAAATTCTCTTTGTAAAAATAACGTGCATGTAATGTGATTTGAATCTTGAACACTTGCATAAAGCATAATCACTATTACCACTAAACCATGACTAACTTATTTCTCAAAAAAAAATTAAGTGTCATAAATTAAGTTGCTACAAGGTTAATGGGTTGGGTAGGTTGGATTGGGTCAATGCTAGTTTGGATTGAATCTGATGAGGGGCATTTTGGTCACCCCACTCAATGAACGACATGTGGACGTTGTCGACAACATAGCGTCCAAGTCAGCAAGACAACTCAACAAATCAACACGAGACACCCAACGCTAGGTGGGCGGCCGAGCTTATGCGAGCTAAGGTCGCCGCCAACACAAGCTCACCTAAACCGTTCCGCGCGCCACACCCTCATAGGCACTGTTACCAGGACCATATGAACAGCTCGCCGAACCATGCGCCACAAGACCTGTGGGCAACCTATAACCACCGCGCGAATTTAGCAACTAACGTGCCAGCACGCCTTAAACTACAGAAATAGCTCTGCTAGAGACTTAGAGACGTTGCCTAATGTCACCTGAACCTCAGATAGCTATAAAAGGACCTCAAATCCACCAAACGAAGGTATGCGCACTGAAATACTTGAGCTCTCTCACATACTTCCACGAAACCCCCATACTGACTTAAGCATCAAAGTGTTCTCCTAGGTAAAACCTACCCAGGCACTTACCTCTTTCTCTTTACAACTCGGACACATAGATACCAGCTCGGTCGTTCAGCTCGACACTGCTAGATCATAATCTTGTTCGAGCCTAATCACAGGACACAAGGGAGCAATAGATCGCGCATCATCAAAATCCAAGCCATTTAATTTTAAGTTTTATTTAAATAGATCATTAATGGATTGAGGTATATACTAAATGCCTAAATGGAGTGAATTCTAAGTGAATCATGTCATATCTGAATTCAAATAGGACTTTTTGCAAAAGAAAGTGACCAAGTTTGGTCAATTGACAATTTCAGTTATGTTTTAGAAATAATAGCAAATTGAGTGAGTGGGTGAAAACATGAAGTTTTCAGGACAAAATTACCCTTATGTTAAAAACAAAATCAACCAAATCCAAAAAGCATTCATGTTTTGTTCATCTTCTCCAAGTTCGAATTCGACTCCATCCATTCAAACTGCAGATGGCTGGAGGCATCGACTCCAACCATTCAAATGACCTCAAATTGGGAAGTATCGACTCCATTTGGCTAGGAAGCATCAATTCGATCGATTTCAAACTGCGGTTGGCTAGGAAGCATCAATTCCATCCATTCAAACAACTTCAGATTGGGAAGTGTCAACTCCATTTGGATGGCAAGCATCAACTCCATCGATTCAAACTACGGCTGGCTGGGAAGCATCAACTCCATATCCAAAGCAAGTGTATGGAGAAACTTGGGTGGTGCTTAACAGATAGGCACCATCCGACATGGGGAAGACCGATGGTTTATTATAGAGTTGGAAACCATCTAGCATCACATGGACTAGATAGTGTTTTACAAAGCTGGAAACCATCCGACATTACATAGACTGGATAATGTTTTACAAAGTTGGAAACCATCCGACATTACACAAATTGGATGGTTTATTGCAGTTTTGAATCTTCAATTGTAGTTGTAAATTTCAGCCCCTTAGGTAATAAAATAGTATTTGCACCCTCAAAATCATGTAAATCCCAACATTCCATAAAGTAGTAGTATATGATTCACACAAGTGTATAAAGTATAAACCATCTAGCATGGAGAAGACAAGATGGTTTATTACAGAGTTGGAAACCATCTAGAATTACATAGATTAGATAGTTTTTTACAGAGTTGGATACCATCTAGCATTACACAAACCAAATTATTGTTTGCAATTTTGAAACAAAATTTTTTTGAATGCTTTTTGAAACATAAACTATAGTTGCAAACATCTATCCTTCCACATCATAGTTACACCATAAAAATCATTTAGAACCCATTAAACCTCTTTGTTTTGTATGATTCTTATATGTTTACATACTTAGAAACCATCCGACACTAAACAGACCAGATAATTGTTTGCAATTTTGATATATAAATTATAGTTTTGAACATCTATCCCCATGCAGGTAATTACACCATCAAAACCATTTAGAACTCAATGAACCTCTTGGTTCTGTATGATTCTCATACTTATAGATTTAGAAACCCAAATTACATCATGCATCTATTGGGCAGGTGCCATTCCACGATGTTAAAACACACAAGCCATGTTTGTGCACGACCATAAATCTCTGCCTCTAGTGCTTCTACTAGGACTTCTTCAGCATTCAAATCATCATATGGTTGCCATTTATATAATTCATCTTCTAGAGTCTTGTGTATATTAATTCATTTTATGAGCTATTATATACTGATATTTTGATCAAAAGAAATTGTAGCTTCTTCAACATTCAAATCAGCATATGGTTGTCATTTATATAATTCTGGAAACCATTCATCTCCAACTTTCTATTGACTTCTAAGTATTATTTCTTTTACTTACCTTTTGCAAATGCTCAACTAAATTATCATTTACTTACATTTTGAGAGAAAGGGATTTCTTTCATTCTTTAAACAAAAGAATACACAATCAGAATTTGACCAATGAATCACATCAATTACTTAAACAATGAAATACAAATACAAAGAAACAACAAACAAAAAATAAAATCTCCCTAAGCCAATTATAAATAGTTGGAGAAACAAGAAACAAGAAAAAAAATAAAGGGAATGGGACCCCAAATCGAGGTTAGAAGAAGAAACCCCTTCCTGATAACTCTAAAGTTTGTGAGAAGACAAATAATCAAACAATAATTTTGAACTCGAACTTGGAGAATGGGACCCCAAATCACTCTAACTCGAACTCGGATGAAGAATGGGATCCCAAATTGCTTGAACTCGAACTTGGGTGAAGAATGGGACCCCAAATCACTTGAAATCAAACTAGGAGGGATATTGCTTTGAAGATGGAATCTTCCCAGCCAACCGTAGTTTGAATCGATCGAGTTGATGCTTCCCATCCAGATGGAATCAATGCTTCCCAATCTAGAGTCGTTTGAATGGATGAAATCGATGCTTCTAGCCAACCACAATTTGAATGGATGGAGTCGAACTCGAACTTGGAGATGCTTCTAGCCAGTCGCAGTTTGAATGGATGGAGTCGAACGAATGAAACATGAATGCTCTTTGGATTCAGTGAATTTTGTTTTTTTACAAAAGGGTAATTTTGTCCTAAAAACTTCATGTTTCCTCCCACTCACTCAATTTGCTATTATTTTTAAAACATAACTGAAATTGTCAATTGACCAAACTTGGTCAATTTTTTTTGCAAAAAGTCCATTCAAATTTGATTCAATATCAAATGGATACTTAGAAAGGTCAATCGAATTTGATTGGAATTCGACCAATTAATTCAACTATGTGCATGCTAATATTAATGTAAAAATTACCAATAAAAGTTAGGGTATATAGCTGACATAGACAATGAGATTGAGCATGCATGCGGATCCACCCATGCAATGGATTTGATAAGAAAAAGAGATAGGGAGTAGAAGAAATAGGGTTTGGAGAAAATGGCCTAAAAAGGTTTAGGTCTAACATATATAACAACCCACTTTATTACGTTTTTGACCCAACCTTTATCTTGTAACAATATAAATAATGGTTTTAACAAAAAGTTTGGGGGCCAAGGACACCCACAATATACTTGGCTCCACCATTGCATCCATGGGTCTTCTATCTGATTGACAGTCAATATTTGACCACAATATGTATCTATGTGATGGAACCTACCTGATCCCATTGGTGAAATTTCATACATGGGAGTGTATCCATCATTTAGTGAGCTTGTCTAAATCATTAGACTGTAGTTGGTTAGAAAGAAAACAGGAGAGAGAAAGAGAGATGATAATGATGAAAAATTTTTAAAGAATTTCACAAATTTTGTTAAGGAATTTCCCTCGATTTCTATTTCTCTATTTTGTTTGAAAAATTATTTTAGAAAAGAAGTCTTTGAGTTTCTCTTTCCACCTTGTATTTAAATCTCAATTTGGAACAAGTGCAAATACAAATACGGAACATATGCAAATATAAGTATTTTGCATTTTTAAGCCTGTATTTGCGTGTACATATTTGTATTTGTAGCTTTCCCAAACTAAGCTTAGGGCTTCGTTTGGGAAGAGTGCAAATACAAATGTCTACGTGTGCATGATACAAAACCTTTTATATGATATTTTCTAAACCTTATATTTGTACCATATATAAGGTACAAAGTAGAGTTTAAATTAAGACTTGACAAAAGTAAAGATTTAATTTTATTTTATATGAATAAGAAATTTTTAAAGCATCTTCTTTAATAGTATTTTTAAAGCATCTTCTTTAATAGTATTTCTAAAAATAGTTGTTCAACATATACAATATATTTTGCTTGTTCTTAGTTCATTTCTTCTTGTGGATATTCAAAATTACCAAAAAATCTCATGCCCAATTTGTTTTTGATTTTCATTATTATTTTTTTCACAAACTAGCCATGTGTTTAGCCAAATAACCAATACCACATTTGCTACTGTAACTAAAATCACTCTTACATTCTGATGAGGGCGGATTTAGCCCTTTAGTGAAATTGTGACACTTGACACCTCATGCCAAGTAAGTGCAGCCTCTTGACAACTAGACAATTTGAGCTAGCTACAGGCAGCTCGGCATAGCTCGCCACAAGCAGTTCAGCAGAGCTTGCCACAGGCAACTTGCCACTTACAGACAGCTCGGCATAGCTCGCCACAGGCAGCTCGGCAGAGCTTGCCATAGGCAGCTTGCCACTTACAGACAGCTCGGCATAGCTCGCCACAGGCAGCTCAGTAGAGCTTGCCACAGACAGCTCGGCATAGCTCGCCACAGGCAGCTCGGCAGAGCTTGCCATAGGCAGCTTGCCACTTACAGACAACTCGGCATGGCTCGGCATAGCTCGCCACAGGCAACTCGGCATAGCTCACCACAGGTAGCTCGGCATAGCTCGACATATCGCAAGAAGATTTCCTACCTGACAACCGTACCTGCTAGATCTGGAAACTGCACCCACGTCTCTGGCCAGGCGGCGTCGTGCCTGCCAACTCTGACAACGCCTCATGTCTGATAGGGCCGTACCCTGCAACGGTTACCTACGCCCACCAGCTCAGCCCTGGCAAGTAACGGCTGCGGCAGAGAGTCAGAGGTGGTTACGCCAGATCTGTCAGAACACCGTTATATAAGAGCTCCGACCCCCCAAAGGGGAAGAGGAGGAAAAATGGAGGTAACCCCTGCTCTCTAGCTCTCTCATTTCTCTAATATCATCTTCAAGCTCTCTACTATCAGAGTGCTAACTTAGCCATCAGAGTGGCCCCGCCGGGTAAACACCCCTGGGTCCTCTGATTCAGTTCTCGTAGGTTCCTCAGCTCCCGCCATCTACAAAGATGAGCAAATCATCTCATGTAGAGGGTAGTCGGGTTGCACTACACCAGGAGGCTCGCCACCAAGGCAGCACACCCAACAGTTCATCAAGGTGGCTCACTACCAGGGAGCTCGCCACCAAGTAGCTCACCACCTGGGAGCTCGTCACCAAGTAGCTCACCACCAGGGAGATCGTCACCAGGTAGCTCACCACCAAGGAGCTCGTCACCAAGTAGCTCACCACCAGGTAGTTCGCCACCATGGAGCTCCATCATCCTCTAAGTCACAGGCCACCTAGGAGCAGGTCAAATGACGAAGTACTTAGCCAAAAATTGATATATCACGAAAAAAAATTGGTACGTGACCAGAAATGGTTACATCACATTCTATGCAAATAACTATTTTTTCATTTCACTCACTAGTTTTTATATTAAACTTATTCCAAACCTTTAGTATTTTTCTTACCACCCCTAACTAGTGCTAATAGTAGCAAGGGTGGCTTAATCAACAACAATACCACTGACATCCATATTGGTGCTATCATACTATAATTGAACATCGACAAAGCCAAAGTTATAGGGAAAGAGATTTTGAAAAGAATTGGCCATTTAAAAAGCATTGAAATATTAAAACCCTAAAAAATGAAAATTAATTATCACTTACCTAGTCCACTGGTCTAGAACCCCAACTTGATTTCAACTTATAAAACATCTAAGCTTCCCAAATTGCTAATTGAAACAATTGATCAAGATTTTTTGTTGAAACTTGAATAAAATTGAGAATTAGGGACTAGGGAGAAAGAGAGTATGAGAAAAGTATGAAGAGCATGTGTGAACATGTGAATATATGAGAGAATGGTAATTGGTGTTATGAGAATGAGGAAGGTTAAAGACATTTATAGGAGTTGGACATAATTTAATTGACCAAAATACCCTTAAAACTAGTTATTTTGTAGTTATTGGGAGGGATATTTTAGTTAGGGATGCAAATGGATCAGATCAGGTTTGAACCAGGGTATAGCCAAATCCGATCTGACACTGTTAAGGGGATATCCAATCTGACCCAAAGATCCGATCAGATCTCATAAATGTGGATTTGAATTCAAATCCAATGAGACCGTCGGACCTTCGAATCTGATCTAATCCGATTTGATTTAAAAAAATAAATAAATTATTAAAAGAAAATTAAAATATAACAATTTAAATAAAGAAACACAAAAAATACAATTATCTTTTCAATAATTTTGATCATATATATACATGCTTTTTATAAAAAAACAAATAATATAATAAATTTACATAAATGCAATATAAATAAATAAATAACATATATGTGTGTTATACATATTTATATAAATAAATAGATATAATATATATCAAATCGGATCTTCTTGGATTGGATAGGGGTGATCCTAATCCAATCTGAAGATCTGAATTTGACAAAATAGGTTTGGTATAGGTGATGTTTGGTATCATTGTCGTTTTCTCCAACAATGGCTATGTTTAGTATCATTCCATTTTCTCATTTTCTTAAAGTTTAAATATAGATGATATTTGGTATTATTGTTGTTTTCTCGTAAAACAGCCATGCCTTATTATTTGATGCCAACTAGGCACTATTAGGCTCTCATCAGTCTAAACAAGAAAAAGTGAGGAATAGTAACAAAGTGCCTACATTTTTAATACCATGGCAAACATGACTCAAAAAACAATTCCATTACCAAACACCCTTATGACTCTTGGTATGCAGGAATGGTAGGGATAGCAATAGGGTGGGTTCGGAGAAAGTTGTACATTCTAGACCCTATCCATCTCCCTAAACCTCCCAATCCATACTCGCCCTAAAATTATAGCGGGCTGGATTTTGAGAATCCAAACCCTCCCCGCTTCAAGGATAGGGGTGGGTTGGGTTTAGAACCTGCATCTAAATTCCTATTATTTCTTATCATATATAAGCAACAAATAAGTAAAATAACTATCAATTACCCTTCACTTAAAATTCAAAATATTATTAGTTCAAGATATAATATACTAAGTTTATAGGTCATGGAGGGTTTGGTTTAGCCAAATACCATTCCTTATTGTACGAATTGTAAAATCCCAAAAACCTATTTGTCAAGCAGAAAAAACCCCACCTTGCTGGGGAGGGTAGAAATTTCCATCCTAACGAATAGGGCTATGAAATCAGAATCAGAATGGGCCAACTGTTTAGTTGGGCAGATTCGAAATCCTATTCCTACCGATTCCTGTCTTAACCAAAAGGGATCAATAGACCAATTCCGATCGCAAGGGATTGCGATTTCGATATTGATGCTGAACCAGCTTAGCTGAATCGGCAGCTCATCCTCCCAAACGAGCCTAGTTCATACAAGGGTCCTATAACCACAAGTCCAAGCTCGTCATTAGCTGTTAGGAAATGGTACGAGTCCTCATAACTGTGGACCTGAATATAATGGTGGGTATTGGGTCGGACTGAAATCTAGAATGCTCATCGTGTTCTTTTAGCAAGTGTTCCTGCGATTTTGTTCAACTCTGAACAGGTACGAACTTGCCTTTCCGTTTTAATCTGAAAGCGCGCTTTGTTTTTGTGTCTTCACTCCATTCCCGTTACTCAAAATGTCTCAGATTTTCTATAAAAGATTGCTTTATGTGCATCTTGTACAAAACCCATCTCTCAAATCCTTCTCAACGACAGTAGCGACGGTCTGCAGAGGTCAGCCATTGTCATTCACAGTTCAATACCTTATAAACTCATGTGGGTTATCCTTAGAAACTGCTCTCTCAACTTCTAAACAGTTCCAATTAGATGAATCAAAGCCGGATAGATACGATTCTGTTCTTACCCTCCTCAAAACCCATGGCTTCTCCAAAACCCACATTGCAGAACTCATAAAGAAGCACCCTTCGGTTCTCCTAATCAATGCAGACAAAATCCTCAAGCCGAAGATGGAGTTCCTCCTCGGTTTCGGGTTCTCAGATTCAGCTGTCTCTGATCTGGTAATCTCAAATCCATCCATCTTCGACAGAAGCTTGAAAAGTCGACTAAAACCATCTTTGGATATCCTCATGAAACATGTCCAGAGTAAAGAGGAAGTTTTGAAGGCAATTAAGCGCTCTTCATGGCTTATAACGTTCAATCTGAGCCAAACTCTGCAACCTAATGTTGAACTTCTAATCAAAGAAGGGGTCCCCATCTCCGGTATCTCCAAACTGATCGTGCATCAACCGAGGGTTCTCTTACAGAAGACCGACCGCCTGGTCAGCACCATTGAGACTGTCAAGAAGTTGGATATCCGACCGACCATTACCACATTTGTGTATGCTATTCATGTGTTGTCTTCTATGAGTGAATTGACATGGAATAGGAAGATTGAGCTGTTTAAGGGTTTTGGGTGGTCTGAAGAAGAGGTTATGTTGGTTTTTAGGCGAGATCCCTATTGTTTGGCATGTTCAGAGGGGAAGGTCAAGAAAGTTATGGAGTTCTTGATGGGCACCATGAAGTTGCATCCATCAGTGATGATCTCAAATCCCAAAGTTCTTAAGCATGGCTTGGAAACAAGGATTCGACCAAGGTATATGGTTTTAAAGGTTCTGGAGTTAGAGAAGCTGATTGAAGGGATTGATGGAAACAAAAAGTTCAGTCGGGTTTTTGGACTTGCAGAAGAGACCTTCCTTGTGGATTATGTGCTTAAGTATTTGGGCAAGGTCCCAAATTTAATGGATCTGTATTGTGCTTCTGTTGCAGCCAATAGTGTTGATACTAATGGTCCCAAAGTAAGAACAGCTTTACAGAAGATTCAAAAACTAAAGATGGAGTTTGGTTTATAAGTATTGAGTTGAAGACATATTCATGTTAATGTAATCCATTTATTGTGTTACCTATTTTTCCTGGTTTTTGGAGAATGGGTTCATTGATGATTTCTTATAGGTGATTTCCAGAATCATGTTAGTTCCTAAATCTGGTATTTGCTTGCCATTATGCAATTCCTTTAATTCTTTGCATGCTACTGAGTAGTTGAAATTTGTCTTGATACATGAAGATTTTGACATTGGAAATACTAACTCAAGAATAATGAAAGTGAATAACATCCTGTAAGACCAGGGACTTGGCCATTTCCATAGTCCATACAAATATATGTTATTTTGTACTAGGAAGATTAAATACTGTATCCAGTGTGCTGGCTATGATTCTAACCTATTTTATTTGAAGCAAATATTGATGTGCTTAAATTTTTGAATTATACAATTGGATGGCAGAATGTTAAGGTTCTGGGGAATTCTTTTTCCTGAAGAGAAGAAGAAGGTTTTATTGAAAATGTAAGAAGAAAATGCACAGTTGTTAAGTTCCTCAGTAAGTGAAGAGACAAGAACTGAAGTCCGTAGTCCCTACCATGAGAAAAGGCAAACTAACTAATAAAAAAGTAAATTAAGGTACAGACTGTCCATGAAAAAAGGGACCCGACAGTACAATTAATCCCTAGGAAGGGCAGAGATGTTCAGTTCAACGAATTCAGGTTGATTGCCCTAATTGGTGATGTTTAAAAGATCATAGTAGGAGTATTGGAAAATTGAATGATGAAGATTTTACATTTAGATATCTTGCAATTTCAAGGGTTTTTTTATCCAAGGGAGGCAAGTATTAGACATAGTACTTATATCAAATGAAATAGAAATCTATCAATCATTGCATGTTATGAATTAGAATCTCATGATATAACCCTGCTTTTTAAAAATCAAACCAGGTTTGGACATGGAAAGCTGCCATGGCTAAAGCTGTCAAAAATCAGGGATCCAGTCATTTGTCTTGCCACTGGTTCACTGGATCAACTGCTTGGGTCAATGATGGTTTGAAAACACTGGTATAACCTGAACTCCAACTCATGGATGAAACCTAAATGACTAGAAAATTGGGTCTTTTGCTTTGATGCCACAAAAGATACATCTAAACCACACAAGGCCTGAGGAAAGTGATCTTAGAGTTCCCTTCTGCATAGATATGGGGTTCATGGGTCTAATGTAGGACAGGTAGTCCTACAGGTCCTCAGTGGTCTAAACAATTAAACGAATGAAGGTGAATTGCGATTTAGGTGCAAGAACTAAGAAAGTAGGTCTAGGAATGGAGCTTTATGGAATTGTGTGTAAGAATATTGAGATGTATGGGGCAATTTAATTTGACTAGGTTTTGGGTAGTTTGGGCACGAAAGGATGAAAATTCTCCTTTGTGAGAGAAAACCCAAAATTCTGAAAATTAGGGTTGTATTTAGAATTTTCATTAAAACTTGATAGGGTGAATTATAACACAGAATGATGACGGAGGACTAAAGAAGAAAATGTTCAAAGGAAAAAAGGACCAGGAAAGTTAAAACTAAAGGAAATTGAGAAGAGAGATGGGAGAAACTTACTCAAATTGATTAAAAAAACTTCTTTTCTTGATCTTGAATTTACTAAAATCTTCTTTTATTGACTAAAAAAACTTAAATCGTGTGGAAGGTCTTAATAAGTGATACGAAGCCTTGTTGATAACTAAAAAAGATGCTAACTAGAAGATCTTGATTGTGTAATAGAGAGTTGGAAGACAAGAAAAAGAATATATAAATAGGAAGAAAGAGAGAAAAAGAGAAAAGAGAGAACAAGTTTGTCCAGTCCACCCCTCCCAAGCCAAGATCCTAGGTAGCTAGGACCAACATTGAGTAATGGCCTTTTGGAGAAAAGAGAGAACCCAGGTTTATATTGAGAAGAGAAGACAAGGAAAACTTTTTACTGCTTCAGGGAAAGAAACTCTTTCAGCCTTTTCTCTCTTAAAGCAGATACTTGCCTTGGTTTCTGTGAAGTCCATAACAGTTAAGATGGTGTTTGGTATGGCTTCTGTTTATTAGATAAATGGTGCCAGCTCATCACCATGTAAGCGTTTGTCCCAAATTGTTATTTGGTAGGCCTGTTTATCTGATAAATGTTTGTATTAGTTTACGTGCAAGTCAACCATTGGGGGAAGCTTCATTTTAACGTTTCCCCCAATACAAAGGTGTTTATTTACTGTTCCGCTTAGGTGCCTAGCTGTCAACAAACACTAGAAAAACGTTTATCAACCACTTTTTCTCAGTTTTGAAGACAAATAAAGTACAAACGTTTATTTAATAAACGAAGCCATACCAAACATCCCCCAACTCCAAATACCATGTATCATGTTTAGTTAACATGTTCTTACACTAGTATTTATAGAAAGATAAGTGGGGTTTGAGTTCAGGATACTGTTCACCTTAAATTCTAGAATTGTCAATAGCAAGCTTCAGCTCAAAGAAAACATCATAGTTCCTATTCTGCCTATCCTATGACTATGATTATGAAATTGAAAACAAAAAGACAAACCTAAATAACATAACATTTGTCTAGTAAGACTGCAATCAGTCTTAGTTTGGATCTGAATTAAACAAGAAGTAATGCAGAGAATAAAAGAAGAAGAAGAGAAGAATAGAAGAAGAAGAACTAGGAGGTCTTAGGATTGGTAATTTCAAGAAAAGGAATTTGGCTCTACTGGGGAAGTGGTTGTGGAGGTTTTCATTGGAAAGGGATAAATTGTGGACTAAGATTGTGGCTAGCATTCATGGGTTGGAAGACAATGGCTGGGATCTTGGAATCTTGGCAAGGGCTTCAACTGCTTCTTCTTGGAAATCCATTCACAATCTGCTTCCAGTTTTCTCCCCTTTGATCAGGTATGCTCTAAACTTTGGTAATCGAATAAAATTCTAGGAACAACTTTGGGTCGGGGATTCTCCTCTGAAGGACCAGTTTCCTTCCTTGTATGCTCCATCAGACTTGAAAAATGAACCCATATCTTCTTTCTTGGTCCCTTCAGCCTCCACTTCTGGCTTTGGATGGAACCTTGGCCTGCGTAGGGCARTTAGGGATACAGACATGGATAGCTTGGTAACTTTGCTAGCCTCCCTTGAGATTGTCTTCCTAAACCCTACTAAGGAAGACACTAGATTTTGGACCCCTTCTAGCTCTGGTACATTTTCTTGTGCTTCATTCTTTGAAACCTTAACTCAGCCTCCTATCCCCTTTGGGTTGTCCTTCCAGTTAAGGAAATTTGGAGAAGGCCTATTCTTCCTCGGGTTGGTTTTTTTTTGTTGGGAAATTTTCTTGGAAAGAATCAACACTTTAAATTTACTTCAGAGAAAGAGACCCAACTAGTGTCTACTTCCTAATAGATGTGCTCTTTGTAAAGCTGATGGGGAATCTGGCTACCACCTCATGGTCTCTTGTAAGGTTGCTAAAACTGTTTGGGAGTGGGTTTTCTCCCGTTTTGGGTGTTCTTGGTATCCTCCGGAGATTGTCCAAGGTTTGTTTTCTCCTTTTTT